ACAATCAAAATTAAATGCACTGAGATGGACTTTGCACTTCCTGATCCCTACCCCATCCCCAGACTTCTAAATCCCAGGATTTTCCTTTAAAATGTTCCCTCATGTCTAGTCAGTGGATTTGCCTAGTACAAGTACTGTAGAAATTTTCACCATAAAATATCCTTACTCTAGAATGGCCAATACTTGACGGGTTTAGCCCCACTTACATTATGAAATAAAAATAGGCTCATTTTCCCATTTGGACTCGTTTTGATGTTTTGCCCACCACCATCACCACTGGCAGAAGAGATCTTAATAATGTAGCTTTGTCTCTGCAAAGAAGAGATTCAATTTTATATAATAACCAATGTATACTGGTTTTAAATGAGGTTCATTGGGCAGAATATATTAGACAAGTGTCTGTTTTTGAACTTATGATATATATATTTTTATTCAGCATTTGAAGGCCTGAAAGTTCCCATATAATGTAGCAAAGTTCTATTCAGTCCTTACAGGTCAAATAAGCCACCCTTTGCATGAGTCTCAGCAAAATTTTAGACATGTATTGGAGCTACATGGCTGGCACAAAAACAGACGGTTACTTCAAAACCACAAAGAAGTGGGAGCCCAAAGAATTCCTTTCTGCAATTCAATAAACAAGAGGAAAGATGTACTGTTTGCTGGCTCAAAATAGACACTAATTTTACATCTGTCTCTGAGGCATAGCAAAAAGCCAACTAAAGAGCAGTAATAAATGTCCAAAAACAGCATCAGTATCCAAAACTCTCACAGTAGTCTTCAGAGGAATTAATTACAATTCTGTGTAACAGTTGCATTGGCAAAATGCACCCATAATTATATACAGGTACTGTACTGTATTACAGGGAAATTTGCCATGTGATACTATGTTTACATGATAATTGATGGATAAGATAAAACTATTTGCATATGAAGGGCATAAGAATTATTGGCATGGCTCACCATTTTATGTGGAATCATATTAAAGTTTCATTTTCTCTAAAACTGTATGTATAATATGGGGTTACCAAAGGGCATAAAGCTGATACTTAAATTTGCTTTATAGCAAATGGGTCTGGAAAGATATATCTCCACATGCATTACTAAAAGCCTATATTTAAAAAGGCTTTATAGTTTATCTATAATAAGCATTGTTTTCACTTCACCAGATTACATTATATTAAATCCTCTGTATTCTTCCTTCCAACCAAACAATACTCTAAATTATATCACTATGCCAATTAATTTTACAGCCATATGTAAAACAAATAATGGTTTTTCTTCCTTGCCTATACATATAACTCTTATTTTCAGATTTTTGTGTTCTGGTGACATGTAATAGAATAGTAGCAAAATTTGACATTTTTATAATGTCCATACCTGCTGGAAAATTTCAGCATTTGCAAAAATGGCCTATCATAGCATTTAAACATTGCTGATAATTAGCTTGACATTTGAAATAGCAGAACTGTTGTTTTGAAGATGCCCTACACAATGTTACCTTACTAACCCCTTTTCCTACTTATATACTTTCTCTACATTATTCTGTCAGTTACAGTACAAATATCAGTTGCTAATGTATTAACATACAAAAGAACTGATGTGAAGGGGCAATACTTCATCTTCACCAGAAGCAGAAACTCTATTGACGTAAAGGAAAATTACATATGCAGCTTATAGACAGTTAATTGTTAATAAGGCAGTCAATAATGATTTCCTATAACTCTACTCAAGTGGGCCAATAAATCGTTCAATGCCATCATCAAACATATATTAAATATCCACAATGTGGCAAATCCAGAAGATAGCAGGAGGTGCCATTCTCACCTCAGGAAGCTTACAATTTATTTGGAGAAATAGATTCATAAAATTGTAGTTCCAGAAGGACACTTGAAGTCAACTCTTGACAAAGGAGGTAATACAGCACAGTGAGGTGAAATGACTTGTCAAAGGCCGTACAGCCAGTTGGTGGCAAAGCCGGTACTAGAAAGCATGTCTTTAGGTGTACAACAGCTGAACAAAAACATACATATTAATACAAATTCCCAGTGCAGAATGCAATCTAAGTTTAAACCCCACATGACCAGAGAAAGGGATGGAAATCCCTGGGACTTTTTGGGATTTTCATGCCACAAAAATGGAGATTGTTGCTTAATTTTAAATTGTTTTGATGATTGTTACTTTCATGGATCCCCTTAATTTGAGTTATAGAAGCCTACCAATTTGATCAATTACCAGAATCTAACAATACACCCATGTTTCCTGCAATAGTTTGGAAACAATAGAGATAAAGAGGCAGTTCACAGAATTACGAGTTTGAAGATTTGCCTTGTCCCAGAACCAACGTGTAACCAGCTGTGTGGCCTTGGCCTATCATCCAAGGAAACTTGGTAGAAATGAGTAAAAATCACGATAATGGTTCCCTGTTTATGAGGTTGTCATAGGAGCCTACAAAGTTGTACGTGCAATGGCACTGTGTGATGTATAAAACAGTAACATGGAA